CAGGAACAAGACTTTCTAGAGAAAGTGCCTCACAGCAGTTGTGCCCCTCCTTCTAAGAAATATACATAGCTAAAAATCTCCTGGGGACCAGCCAGTCTCTGCCAGATTAATTTCGTCTTTGAAGAAATTGTTAAATCCGAGAAACACAAGAAATAAGATTCAAATTTATCTTAATAGTTATGGTGAGACTAAGGAAAACAGGTGATCCTCAGTATAAATAAGATCTTGAAACATCAACGCAATCATCTAGCACAGAAACTAAAATCCAGCATGTGTTTTAGTATCCTGATAGCAAACATTCTGGTGGTCAGAAAGGAGCGTAATATCAGAAAAGATTATGCCAATGTCGGTAGAACAGTTGAAGATTTCCAGTAAACAAAAATAGTTTGGGGAAACCAGGAAAAATTAGAGTTTTTAAGCGTTTTGGTAAATATTATACACCAGGCTACGTCATTTTGACAAGAGGTGGCAAAGCAGTTTGAAGGTGGGAAAGAGCGATGGAGGAAAGGAGACAACATTCTTCCCGTATCACATATATCCACCTATGTAAGCATCATCCTTTCTCTATTAAGCTCCATCATCTTCTTACAGAGGTTTGAATGACAGAGTGTCACAAGAAAGCAAAAATATAGCTCAGGTTCAGTGTCAGATAAGAGGCTGCATAAATACTGCACGTGTTGACTCCAGTCTGAGGTCTGCCCTTGCCCAGCAAAAGAAGGGACAACAAGTCTGTGAGGGCAAGTGCGCAAAATACTAGATTGTTAAATGGGACTGAGTATCTGACACTGGCCTTGCCGTAAAGGAGACTGATAGCAAGAAAATCCTTCCACACAATTCCCAAGGTAAAATGGCAATTGCCAGGTAACACGAAAGCCTACCAACTTGCATCAAAAACGGGACAAGGTTCAAAAGTGAATGTTTTCGGTAAATGACACATAGAAGGCTTTGGAAAAATAACAAAGGACTGAGTTTGCTTTTACAGAAGCAACTTCCCTTTGGGTTGTATACAACAGCACTTCTATTTAAGGGCAATATGAAACATCCCAAAAGGCAGAGGTGAAAGGCTTGTTTAAAATGTGTGAATAGCAATTCTATCAAACTAAAAATAATGCAGGACCACGTTCGGACATTATTTAATATAGTCTTCCCCTCCCACCCCCCAAGGTGTTTTGTTTTATTTTTTGTTTTTAAAAAAAGTAGTAGATGTCAAGAACACTCATAGTGTAGACAAAAAGTTTTACTCATGGACAAAGAGGGAGCCCTCAGCTCCTAACCACTCTTGTGTTGAAGAGCCAGGCAGCTGCGAGTGAAGAAATTGGTGGGAGGAACACGAATTTTCAAAACTGTGATGCTGCTGTACTGAATACTAGTTAGCAGCAGCAATCTTTTCTGCTTAGTGGTAATTATGAAGGCCTAACGACTTTCCAGGGTAGCTTTTACCTGAGCAAACTCCAAGGTATTTCAGGCGAAATTTCAGCCAGTTTTGTCACATATTAATGCATAAGTCAACAGAATTAAATTACTCTAAATTAAATAAGAGAAGGGTATTTCAAATTTTAAAAGTGAAATCTATAAATCCGAATTTATAAAACAGTCATTTTGTGTCCATACTGTTTTCTGCGGAGCAAGAGCAAAAGGACTCCATTAGGAAAAGAGAAAAATGTACCTTTCTTTCTAGCTGTGTCATCTGGATCAAGATTCCTGGTTACTGTGACAACCTTAAGAACCAGGTGATTGCCCCCTTGTCGAATCATGTTCACCACCTGCCTGTGGCCAACTTTCACTACATTCTCATTATTAACCTGCAAAGAAAGGAAATAGCCTTTTAGATCAAAATGCAGAAAATTTCTGTTATTTCAGTTTCAAAAACAGCAGGTGGAAAGAAAAGGAAGATAGAGATTTTCTAATTACTATCTTTTAATAAAAATACATATTTAAGAAACAGAATAGAGTTGGTATGATAACAGGAAAATAAAGCTAGCTCTTCATGAAATATGCAAATAATTTCCTCATAATTCCCTTTTTTTTTAAAAAAAAAGGTAATGAGTTCAACCAAATCTTTCCCTTTATGTATTTTACTTCTAACAATTAGTGTGCTACAACTCTGCATTTCATACACTAAGAATATTTTCTTAAACAATAGTTTTCATGACTGCGTTATCCACAAATGTTTATGTGTATTTTATGTTCTCTACCATAACCCATGAGATATTAAAAGCTTTTCTTTTCAGATCATCCAGGAATAAAGATTTTTATTCCTGAAGTAAATTCTTATGTTCAAGACACATTCTTTTATTATATGCACTCTCCTCATTTCCCAGCATCTGATCTGATGTCCTGGAAGCAAAGGCAACAGGGCCATAGCAGTCCATAAGAGTCTTCATGGGAAAACAGGGGTTAACTATATGAAGCACAGACCAGCAATTATGGTCAAGCCAACTAAACTTTAAACTGCACTGCAACATTAAACTTTAAAATGTATACTCTCTGGGTAATTCCTAGTGCTATATCATCATATTTGCTCTATATGTTTTTCTATAATATTAATTAATAGACATAGAAGGAAGCCTAGGCATAAAAACTGTAAATAACCATGGATAAATGTAATTTATTTATTCATTCAATCTATAAGAAGCCACTGAAAGTTCCCTGAAATCTGAATGATAGCAGCATATAAGACCGAAGTGCTGCATGTGCTATTTGAACATAAAAGATATTGAGGAATGGAATCATGAAGAAGAGATGCTGCCAGAATACACGCTGGGAATTTGATCTCTATCCAAAATTCGACTGACTCAGTTATATTTCACTGCGATCACTCAGTGCCTTCCAAAATGAACAGTCATTTTCAAAGTAAATGTTTTTAGCCTCCTCTATTTATTCTGACAGGCTGGGCATCTCACACTCTAAAGAATTTACTAAATGGCAAAATCTCTCATTAAATATTATTGCCATTTAGCATAACAACAAGCACAACCAGATCCACTCCAACTTGAAATCATTTTTCCATCCATGGTATCAAAGGAAAATCTTGCCTTTTTTCAGGCTTTAGCTAAGACAAAATGCATTATGATGAAATAACGTTCAGGTAAACCATATTTTTAAAAAAATGCTGCAGTCAGAAGTCTCAAAGTATGGTCCGTGTGCTACGTCTATAAGCTTGAGATGCTTTTTGAGATGCTTTTTTAGTTTCATATACAGCAATGTAAGTGCAGCACATGCTGAACACCCAGACTGTTGAGCAGGCAAATATGAAGTTCTCTCATTCTGTAGAAGGATATAAAAGAATATCTATTTGAACAGGACTGTTGCTGTTTTGTTTTATTTTACACCTTCTTAGCATCTGGTATTTAATTCCAAGATATGGTATTTAGTTAGCTGGACCAATGGCATCTAAATTTAATCTGTCTAAAACATTTTAGCAGAGTTATCCATTTACTTCTGAATTTCTTCCAGTATTAAAAATTCAATCAGGTAAAACTTTTCTACAGCAAAAAAAGTTCATGCAATTAAGAACTATAGAATGCATCTACTCCATCTTTACTGGAATTAAATTTTAAGGTTGGAAGTCAGTATGGATTAGAATATGTCCCCTAATGCTGTCAAAAAACAGAGACCTCCAAATAAATCTAAAGTTAATATTAATCAAACACATGTACACTTCACTAGTGTAAAGTGATAAATGTGTAAAATGATAAACAGCTTATGCAGCATACCATCTGTTCGCATCGTTATGTGCAATGATACTTAACATTTAGAGCAAGAGCAAATATATACGACTCATTTTTTGAAGCTGTCTCAGAAACAGAACCTGTAAACGACTGTTTATAGCAGCTTTGTTTAAAAGGCACAGTTACAAAAGCTGGTACCAAAAAGATTTATATTGAAAAAATAAAAATATTTGTAGGAGATTTGAAGATTTTTTTTAACTCAAAGAGCTTACAGAAATGCTTGATAACAAAAGAATCATGAAATCGGCAGAGCAATTCCTCATCACTATCTTTTCCACCTCAGTAGGTAAAACTGTAGCGTGATTACAGACCAGTAACATCAGAATTGTCAATAGCTTATAAGGAACTAGGATTTCAGTGACAGATTCTCCATTTCTTTTAACCTTCTTCAGTATTTTATATGTAAGCCAAATGACAGTAGAAATGGTCATTAAACAGTAAGACACCAGAGTTCTAGCAGGTTGGTTTGGTAGTTTTAGTCTGATATTACTTAGCAAAACTTTTTCAGGTGTGAATAATTTCATGAGACTCTCTTTGTTTCCACTTCAAGCTTTGGCAGTGGGGACATGACTACGGCATCTCATCTAGGCTTTGTAAAGAAGCTGAAGAAGGTAAATTTTTATAATCAGTAAAACAGACATCTATTTCACCTGTGCCAATCTATTTAATAATCACATGTGTACTTGTTATTAAATGTGATCATGTTCTTTGAAACATTAAAAATATATTTTTGCTTTTAGTAGCAAAGTGTTTAGAATGGTGTTCCATAAACAGTCAAACTAGCAAAGTTGGTTTGGAGACACAAATTTGTGTCCTCTTCTTCGATCCAATCTTTCAGCATATTCTCTGTGACCTTTTACTGCAAAACCTTAAGTTTTTTCCTTCGATTCTTCCCCAAAACTTTCCTGCAGTGAACTCTCCCATGTCCTTCATCAATAGGTTAAATAGATTATAGAAATAGATACATACTGTGGCTGGTTCCATGCTACATCAATGGCAACAGGTCATCAAACAAGCCAAATGCAAGGAAATCTGTCCCTTGAGACAGCCAGCAATTTCAATAACTCTCCTCTATCAATTCCCAACTTTCAGGAAAAGCCTTAGAACTTTATATTCTTGAAGTTCAGACTTTATTATCATTTAGTTAAAACTGGGCAGTGGGATGGAAGCTACTTTGAGCACTTGGAAAGAATTTGAGATATAATTTACAAAATAATATGATCTCATAGACCCAATGTCTTTAAAATATAGCCTAAACTGGAAGCCTGAGCTATCTCAAGCTGAACTTACTTTTTGGGTATGCATGAACTGTTCTTGAAGTGTTTAAAAGGAGGAAGACTTTTGTGAACATCAACATTTTTCAACTATACGTCTCAGTGCTTTTTCCACCTTGTATAATCAATGTTCACAGATTTTTATAGAGCAGTACAATGTTACAAGACAGGAAAATTATGACTTAAGAGAAAAGCTGGAGACAGAAATGAGAAAAATTCACAGCAGACAATTTTTCCAGATAAAATGATTTGCTAGTAGTGCGCAAAAGCATCGTATTTCAATGCCTTGAAGTATTCGAGATGATCTTTAAGGTCCCTTCCAACCCAGATCATTCTATGATTCTATGGTTATCAGCCATATGGCTTATACCACTGTTTCTCATACACCTCATGTAACATAACTCTGTTTGAACCACTCAGTGAAAAGCATCAAATGACACTGAACAGAGTCAAGGAGAGCAGGTGAGAGACAGTGCTACGTAGCCTTCACCCCAGCGATTGCACCATTACTAGTTAGCTTACAGCTAAAGGCAGCTAAAACAAAAGAAATGCAGGTAAAGCAACGCTCATGTGTCGGTCAGTATTTAGGGGAGATATGGATGGACTGCTCTGCAGCTATAATTAGAGGTACGTACAGCTGGTTGATCCAGACACTTCTGGATACATTTAAGACACTAAATATTCATACATGGTAGCAAACAATACTTGCCATCACCTCTGCATAGTTAAAAGCTTTCATTCCTTTCTTTCAGCTGATGGAATCAGTTATTCATATAGTTGTCATTTCATAGCTTCCTACAGCAATGCAATATACTTGAGCACGAAACACTCAGTTCTCCAAGACAAAAAGCAGTGCGCTGTGCCTCCTCTCCACCTCCCACCACTGCAACCACAGCAGACGCATTGCTGCTCCCTCCAATACCCTCTAAGAGAATTGAAAGCTCTTTGGGTCTTGCATTCCATGTGCTTCACAGCTGCTACATACACCTGCTTAAAAGCACCAAACCAGAGACTGTGATCAATAATAACATTCCTCTTGCACAAAGAGCTTTGAACAACAACAATGAAGAGTTCTCTCTCCAACATGGCCATTCTTTCAAGACATGATTCAAAAATATGGAGTAAACCAGTGACAAAGACAACTGACAACAGTCATAAATCTCACTCTTTAATATCCAAGTCCACCACCCTGACTTCATCTTACTGAGCATTTATACACAGTAACATCTAGACCCCACAAAATCCAATAAAAATAATGAAAATTTATTCAAGAATAAATAATGATGTGGTCTCCAAGAGCAATATACTAATCAGGTAATATTTTGTTTTCTTTATGATATATTTCCTACATGAAAGAGCTCTCCATACAAAAAATGATATATGAACTCCCATGACATCAATAAATTTCTCCTGAACTTTACAAAGAAAAAGATGCTCCTGTTCAGGCACCCTTATAATCCTGGTAACATCAGAGACAAGTGCACAGGACTGAAAATGACAACTGCTTAGGAAATGGAAGAAGTTTAGAAAAGGATAAGATACGGTAGAAATTGGTTTACAGCGAGTATGAATGGAAGGCAGTAAAGTCATTTGACAGGTGATTTCAAGAGATGTGCTCTAGCTGGAAAAGGGTACCATAACAGAAGACATGAAGCCAGGGGCAAAGGAGGAAGGCAGAAGCAGTATTTACCATGAGATGATTGCTAAGAGCACAAAGGAGAGGAAGCAGCTATCTTTTTTCTGGGTCTATTTTCACAAAGACATTCTAGGTAATCTCAAAGGCAGCAAAGAGCTTAAATACGATGCAGTAAGAGAGGACTACGACAAGATGCAAGTCAGTGTAGCCACACAGATGCTGTTGGGGGGTACAGAAAATTGTAAATTGTTTTTTTCAATTCACACACCACTAAATGATCACTATAATGCCTACAGGGCAGCTGGTATTTACTTTAGAAGCAAGGTTAGAGATAGAATTACTTTGAAATTTGTTTCCTGAAGATTAAACTTACCCTTCTGCCTCCCAAATAAACGTGTACTTCCATATCTTAAAGAAAATGTGTGTATTAATCTTTACAGTACTCATTCCCTACAGAAACTGCAATTGGATGGGTCCCCATTCTTCTGCCACACCAGGCAGTATGTCAGTGCAAACAAACTCTTCACTGTGTAAATACGTGCATTTAGTTTACTTACATGGGCAGATCTAGGACACGAAAGAACAAATGCTATTATTTAAAAATGTGCGTTTTTTCTTGAAATGAGTATGTTAATGAGTGTCCTAGAAATGCTGGGGTAGATTTTATGGATATTTACACAGACTGCATAAAAATGTTTTTTTCCCCTGAAATTTATAATGATGCAATGGGTTGAAAAATTAAACAAAATAATAAAACAAAACAAAAAAAGGCCAAACCAAACCAAAATAAAATAAATAAATAAAAGATAAAATACAATAAAATAACCTGCACATTCTAGGATAGCAGATGCATGAGCTGGAACATATTCACCAGAGCAGCCTTCCCGTAGGAAGGTGTAAAAGAAAAAACACTACCAGAGAATGAGACCTTTGCAGAGTTTGTTCTATTAATAATAATAAAAAATATCTTAATTTCTTCAATGCATCATCCTCGTCCTTCCATTACCTAAACATTCGCTCAGTGGAAAATGTAGTCAATCACTTTCAACAGTAATTAGGTAGACAAAACTCAAGTCATTCTGCTCAGGATGACCACTGAATTGCTGCAATGGTGAATAAATTCACCTTGCAGATATGAACACACATTCTGTCAATATAATCTTCTCAGAAGCTCTTCCTGTCCATTGAAGTACTTGAAAAAACAGCAAAAAAACTAAACCTGTTACACACACTTACAAATCCCTGCCTACACACTTTTTAAAAATCCACCATTTTTTGTAAATACTTAACACACACTAATCTAATTACAATTTGTACCAGCAAAATAAATAGCATACAAGCAATTTTGTAGGCTCAAATTATACTTTTGCATTTCAAGTAACTACACAGTTGTGCACATAACACTGTCTAAGCATGTCACAAATGAATATGAGTTTCCCATCTGTGAAGTATTCTTATTCTGTAGATTAAAATATGAGACACAGAAAGACACAGTGACCCAGAAAATCTTTGGGAAGTTATTCCTTCGCTCATTGTATCTGCAGTGCTAATCCAGGGGTCAGCTGCAAGACTATTTCATTCACTGAAAACCAGCAACTGGTTGTGGTGTCTATGGTTATGCTGGCCTTAAAATCTTTGTGCTAAAGCAGTACGTATCACAAATGTAGACCACGTCCAAAAGCTTCACACAACCAGGCATCCAAGCATGCAGAAACTCCAGCTGAAATACAGCAGTAGTAAACTTTTAATAGTAATCCACTTCCTTATAGATTTGCCTGGATTGATGACATTACTGCATGGGAGGCTGTAAAGAAGATGAAGCTGGTGAGCAAGGAATTGGATTAGGTCATCTCCAGAGATGACTTCCTACCTCAACAATTCTGTGATTCTATGGGGTTTCCTCAAAATAAAAAGTATCATAAGGAAGTACCTACAGCCCTTCAGAAAAAAAGGTACATATAAATTACAGGAAAAGTGTCAATATCATTATTAGCATTGCCACAGTGCAAATTTGTTTGCATATGCTCAGACATTACAGTAAACAAGAAAGATATAAGACATCTAAAGGAAAACATCCTGTGGAGATAC